ATTAGTTGCTGGTTTCTTATGGCAACACCAAGACCTGCTCATCTTAAAATGTGTCTTCATAGATAGACATAGCATATGCTTGAAAATTTGTCTGGTTGTGTCTGACACAAAGCAGTGGAGAGCTTATGATTGAAGTATAAGATGGTGATTCAATGAAGATGTTTATCTGAAGAGGCAAAACATTCAAGCTTTGATGCCACTGATCATAATTCAAGCAGAAAATCTGCTTTGGGTAAAAAAATGAAGAATCTACACATCGTTGGAAATCTTCATATAGTCCTGACAGGAATTTCTATATGACTACAGGAGAAAGTATAGCACAAAGCCAAATTGGACCAAATGGGGATTTGTTTTGATGCAGTCTCTCAAATATTGATCTGAGCTTAGGAGAAGCTAATGACAAAGAAGATACCTGAGATACCCATCTTTATCAGAAGATTTAGAGTTTTCCAAACAAATTTGTGAACTGCAAGGAACAGTTAGATCATAGTAATTGTTCTGACACAATGGATTTAAATATAAAATATTAAACAACATAATATCCATCAGCCCCAGAGAGTCAGCCCTGGAGTATTTTCCATTCTGGAGATTACCACATCCCAGGGATACACAGCACTCAGAGCTTTTTGTGCTTCAGAACACAAATAAGAGAAATGAGGGAAAATGTTTCATTAGAAAAATTAGTCAAGCCTCTGTTTAACCACAAAAGTCAGAGTGCCTTAGTCATCCAAAGCAAGCAGCAGTTTTAAAGTGTCTTCTCAAATTTAACATATACATTCATTTTTACATACCAAAAAGTAAAAATACCACTGTTGTTAAATAAAATTAACCAGATATGTTAATAAAGCCATTACAATGAACTTTTCATTAATAGCTATACAGATTTCTTAGCTGTCCTAGTAGAGAAGTACTATGTCATTTGTAATACCCATGAATTTCATAGAGAACTTGCACTGTAAACCTGAGGCACCTACACCAAATGTATCTTTAGATACAGGAATCTTTAGAAAAGCAAAACAAAGCCAGAGTGCCTCTCTCTTTTCTTCCTTTTTTTTTTTTTTCTTTTGGTAAGCCAGCAGTAGCACTTGGACTATCATAGCCATAATAAAAGCATTATCAGTGTTACAACACTAGCAACCACAGATGCCATCTCTCCTGAGAGATATATTTCTCCACACTAAGAGACAGCATCACTTCCAGCTAGAGGTTAACCTGTGTGGAATGGGAGGTATTGTTCATCTCAGAGCAGAGATCAAGTGCCAGCTATTTCAGCAAAAGCTGCCAGATCTTTTAATGGATAAAGTCATGTCCTGCTCAGACCCTTTAGCTGCATCCTCAGCATCTCTTCTCCAGGCTAACTAACTAAATGTCTGAAGTCTTTTCCCCTTGGAAGAGCCGATTCTTGCAGAAGTCTTAGGTTGTCACATGAAATGCGTACTTTAAAATGCCTGTAGTCCTGTAATTTCAGGAACTGTGTGTCAAATATATGTCAGATTCAGCTACATTAGTTTCTTGGCATATAACAGCTACATTTACAGGCAATCTTAAACAGCACCAGTTTCATTCAACTAATGTAGATTTTAAAGTTGTAAGGAATTATTTATTTCAGTCTACTGTATGTGTAACAGAGAACTTCCACCTGTAAATTATGTACAAGAACTATAACATCTATTTCATCTGTATAAAGTCTTTTATAAGCATTCCCAATCACAGTTTCAGAGTATGGGCTGGCAACCCAAAAAGTTATTCCAAACGTTAAATACAGATTGAAAGGTGGCACCTTATATCCTATTTGCATGCAGCCTGTGAGCTTTTTTCTCCTTGATTAAAGACCCATCCTTTGTGAGCACTGTCTTCCTCAAAGATAGTGTTAAATCCTCAGTTACTTTGAGATAAGACCTTGACTTGAACAGAATTGCCATTTTTGAGGAAAACTAAAGATAAGGCAAAAGAACAATGCCCCTAACAAGCAAGCGTCTTATAAGCTCTGTTAGGAGAACATCCTCACAAGAGGATTTGTACTTACTGTTCCTACTCAGACCTTAGAAAGACCTACAAATCCTGCCCATCACAGTTAAAACAGAGATTCAAAGGAAAGACAGCTTAATGCCACTCGGCATAGATGCTATTATCCAATTTGACTCTCAATTCAGTCACTGTCTCTTAAATTAATTTGATTGGTACACTTGAAAAAACCAAATATGCTTTAATGTCAATAGCTCTCTCATGAATAGAGGAATGTCCTGCCTGGTCCCCAGAAGTCTGGTGTCCTCTGGTGTCTTCTGGTTGACTGACTTGTAAACTGACTGAGCTGCAGCAGTCAACCACTACCAGGGATAGGAGTCAAGGAAGTTCTCAATTATGCTCTCCAGGGCAGGCTTTGGGAATTGTTCTTTTGAATACTTGAGAGGTGCAAACACCAATGCGAGCTTTTCCAGTACATGAAGTACTGCTGATTATTCTCCCCTGCGTGATCTCTTTGATGTAATGCTGCTCTAAAAGGCAGTTTTAATAGGATGCCTCCCCTCTTACCAACCAACCTCATTTTCATTAAGCATGTGGGTGTTTCACAGCTTTGAGACTCTCTATCCAGGAGTTCTGCAGTTACTGGGGGAAAGGGACAGATACAGCTTACTTCCTTCAGAAAAGAGGCTAAAAAGGGTTCTGCCAAAGCAGCTGTGTTAACTATTAAAGAAACATTCTCTCAATGCCAAGCACAATGTACAAATCACTCTGTCCTGCCTCAGTTCTGAATTCCCAAAGCTCTTTTGGTGGGTTCCCTAAAGGACAATGCCCCATCTGTTAATTCTCCTGGATAGAACCTCATTGATGGTATCTCACTCTTATGCATGAATTAATACCTAAAGAAATTAATTTAACATTCATCTTGTGGCTGGTATGTAGCTGAGAAATCATTCTAAAGAAGCATTGGCTGGAAAGGATGTAAGAAATGTCTGTTTACTGCTAGGATTCAGAAGGAAAAATGGTGGCATTTCTCAGGACAAAATGATGGTTCTTCCATTTCCTTTAGCATTGGTCCCAGACCCTTTGGAAATGGACTGTGAATGAAAAAAGTATCCTGCAGTTTCTTCCAGGAAAAGATTTTATCTGAGTCCAGCTGGAATTTTCAACAGGAAGTCCAAGTTTTATGGCCATGTTTTGGAAAGAGGTAACTGTACAATACTCTTGAAAAGTAATTTCCTCAAATGTTAATGAGATATACTCTAACTACCAGCAAAGGCAAAAGAAAATCATGTCTTGCTCTGCCAAATGAATTGAAAAATGACTTCAAGGAAAGGAGATAATCCTGCCAGCATCAACACTGTTAAATAAGCCACATACATGCCTTCTATTGTTTTTTATCTAAGCAGAGAGGCCGCTTAAACATGTTGAAATAAAAGGCCTTTTATGTTTGACAAGAAAATAAGTGGCATGTTTCATTTCCTTGCTCAGACTGAATTAATATTATAAACCTCAAACCTTCCAAGAACTTAATCATAATAATTTTAATGGAAAAATTCAATGTATAGAATTAGATAAGAATTGTTCTCATAAAAATACATATTCCTCTAAGAAAGAGCTGTAGAGGTCTAGATAAAAGCCTCATTTAGCTAGAATTACCTCCTAAACTTGACTATGCTGTTAAAATGTCACTTGGTCTCAAACTCTGCCACGTAGCCACAAAATTTTTCATACCATTTCTATAAGGCTTGTTAAAAAGCTTTCATATTTCTTTACTTTAAAACATTCAACTTTGTATTGAAAATAAGAGAAAAATCTCAAAGATCATAAATAATTCCATTATTGGATCATACTCCCTCAAGTCCATGCTCCTGGGCCTTGTGTGTTCGTTAAGGAATGGTTCCAAAAGGTGATCCAAGAAAGGAAATATTTAATACACTGCCAGTATTGAAATATTTTCCTTAAACCATATTATATACCTGAAGAAAGCAAGTTTATCCTTCTTAGTACCAGTTCTCATCTATATGCATGTCCTTCTTATAATGTGTTTATGTCTTGGACTTCATGAAAATCTGTGGCAATTTTCCAAATCTATTGTTTCTGAACAATACACATTTATTTCAGCTTTAGTTTTTACTGAAATATTTGATGTCTAATGCTCTTACTGATTATCAGTTTCTAAGCAACTGGTAAACAGGATTTTTTAGTTGTCAGTTTCTAGAAGAAATTGCAACTCATTAAAGTGAGCATGCAAAGCTAACCTCAGATTGTAGCCATTACACTTATTTTAATGTATTTAATTTAAAATGTTTGATCAGAGAACAAGTCTCCTAGGATGCATAACTTTTCTGGAACATCACAGTGAACAGCAGTTCTTCAACAAGCCTCATTACATTCCATGCACAATATCAAGCAATGTAAAGAGAATGAATAGTAGCATCACATTCAGTTCATTTTATATTGATAAAGCTTCGTGTCTCGGGACTAACATGCTAATAACCACATCAATGCTTGTTTTGATTAAATGGATTTCTTCCAGCAGTGGAAGCAGCAGGGCCAGAAGTATATTGCACTAAGGATATTCACATCCTTATGCAAGCAGGATGATTAAATTTAGCATCAAGTTACAGGTTGCTCTCTAATTCAATCTCTAATTCTTTCATTCAATTCCACCAATGAATGTTTAAGTTACAACTTAACTGGCCTGTGCATCTTCAGAGGTTCAGCTGTCAGGACAAATCTTGAACAATTTAAAAGTTATTAGCCAATTAACCCTGCATTTATCCTTTACTTGTGAATTTTTTCCTCTGTGACTGGACAAGCATGTCCATGTGCATCAGACAAAATCTATCAGAACAGAATAGCACAGTTAGAATGTGCTAAGCTCTCTGGAACTTTAATTTAATGCCCACTGAGATTAGAAAAGGGTAAACAGTGAGAAAACAACAAAAACCCTCAAAGAAAAAAGCATTTATCTACTGATAGCATTTATTAAATGACATTCAGTCAGTATTAAGCAAGCCATCCCAAGGACTTACCCTGCTAAATAAAAGAATGTGATCCTCAGAAATAGAGCTTATTTTCAACACCATGCAGGGCAGCCTCCAGAGCAAAACTGCACTCTGTGTTTGTAGAGTCAAAGCAGCAAGTGTTACTATGTGGTATCAGCCCTGCCAACATCTGACAAACCCAAGGAGAATGAACACGATGTTTCTTTAAGCATGTAGTGCTTGAGATGTTAGCCATTGTAAAAACATTAGGAGGAAGAAAGAAAATAATGAACATTACTGTACCAAAACAGGAAAAGCAGATTTCCCTCCCACCCACCCCCTGCCTCTTACAGACAGCCCTGGTACTTTTTTTTTTTTTTCCAAAATGTATCATGGCAAAGGAATGTGTCTTTCTTTGCCTGATGACCTCTGATTTGGAGAAGTATGCTATTCAGCATCATTTAGCACACACAGAACAAAGAAGTTTAACTGTTTCAAAGGAATGCAGAATTCCAGCTCTTGTTACAGAGTTCTGAATGCTCATCGCACAGCTTAATATCCGGCACATATTGGATGAAAAGGAACAGTAACTCAGCAGAGACGGCCTCATTCCAGGCTCACCCCTTCTCCCCCCGCCCATGCTAAACAGCTTCCATCTCCTTGTGAAACAGCAACAGCTTCAGATTATAATTCCGTTTTCCTAAGGATATTCATGTTGCATTTAAGTCAAGAAATCGTGATCTACCAAAACATTAAAGAAATCTGTTTACAAGCCCTACTTCCAAGAATGCAACCTTTTATTTAACACAGATTTACATGACAAAGGGCCCAAATACTGACCAGTGCCTACACCTGATCTCAGAAGAATGAAAATCTCTTAGCGAAGATAAAGCCCTTACAAAACAGAGAACAGCACAGCAAAAACTTGTGGCTAAGAGAAGAGTTAAAAGAGGGAAAGTCTGGTTTATTTTTTTATTTCTTTTATATACCTATTTAGAAGTTAATTTTGTCAAATATATCCCCCCTTAGCCTAACAAGCAGATTCAAGACTATCTTGAACACAAGGAAGTTTAACAGTTTTTTTACACAGCTATTATGAGTGGTTCAAGATGAACTGGAATTACACTGAAAACAACTCATGACAGCAGTGAAATATGGGCTTCTGTGATCTTCAAGAGGCAGGTAATGACTACTTAAAGCTTCATGGTGTCAGGCCCCAATCGCTTTAAGTGCCCAGTATTTTCCTCAGAATCAAAAATTACTTGTTCTCAGAGCAAATTTTTTCAAATTCACAGTGCTCTCATAAAATCCTAAATAGAATCATTACTCACAGGTACTGACATTTAGAAAACCGTGCAGCTAAACTTGTGATCCTCCCCTTTAAGATATAGCTAGGTCATCCCCAGGGTTACAACTGAAGCAGTTTTATTTTTTTAAATTTGCTTTTACCTTTTCTTGAATCCTCTTGGCTTTCACTGTCGATACAAGTTTCCAAATTGCATGGATAGGAAGCTTTATAAAACAGGAGAAGACAGATTTATGCAGCAGATTATCCATAATTTAGGCAATTTCTCTTACTGCTTCCCTTTCTGGAGTTCTGAATGCATGTTTTCTGCCTCTTCCCAAAGACTCGTAGTCCTCGAGTGTTGCACAATCCTTTCCTGCAGAGCAACTGGTGAAAATCAAAACATCAAATGCAGAGCGTCCAACAAATGACTAGTGTTAAAGTGCCACAAGGGCAATGTGAGCTGCAAGAACTGAGGGGCAGTTCTATCAAATGCAAATCATTTCCCTGGCAGCCTGCTCAAACTGCTCTACTTCTGGTAAGAACATTCATCCTTAGGTCCTGATTTTTTTCCTACCCCTCCTAATGCCTGATGCCTCTTAAAGCTTGTTCAGCTGCAGTAAAGAGGTTAGAAAACTGCTGTTTGCAGCACATTCACCCCTCCTCCTCAAGCTGTATTTCACCGACTGCACTGTCTGGTTTCACTTTTGTTTCACACACAATCCTGTTATGTGGATTTCAGATTAATGCTTTCTTTCATTCCCTGCTTTCTAAACTGGAACTGCAAGGCACCAGTTACAGAGCAAAACAGTGCAAGCTCAGATAAAGCTTTGCTTGCAACTGGGGGCTTTGCCTTGAATCTTACCTGCAAAAACATTTCCTTTCAAGTCATTATATTTGTCTTTATGACCCCTTCTCTTCTTTGCACCTTTGATCAGCAGACAAGTGCTTGTCTGGCTTTTGTAGCAGACGGAAAAGCAGCAAAGCACAGTTACATCAATTATCATCCTAAATTCTTGAGTTTCAGAGTTATGGAAGTTTGAGTGGATGTCTCCCTCTCTAGTTGTTGTTGGCCTTTTATGCAGAGAAGTCACAGAGCTGGGTTCTTATTACAGTAAAGCAATTCAGTCCTCGCTACAACTCCACAGCCATTAATTCCTAGTTTTTAAAGTCTTTCCTAAGGTGTGTTTCCATGTATAATAAATTATTGTAAAGTCACTCTGTACCCAGGCCATTCTATGATTCTATTATTTAGATCTTGGCTAATACTACAGAATTTATCCTGAAGCTATTATATACAGCTGCTAAAGACTAACCAGCCAGAGAATGTTATGTGCCTCCTGCACAACATTTGTGGGAGGCAAAAGAAATCATTTCTTTACCTTGTCAGCACAGTTTGTGGAAAGCGGTCCATATGGTAGGGAAATAATACTGCTTTGCAGGACTCTTCTCCCACTCTTCCTTTCTAGGTCTCACAGCTACAAAAAAAATCTTTCAATAGATTCAGGAAAGAATCCAAGACAGATTTACATGTTTGTTTTCAGTGTTAACTCGTCCCACACTACTTGCACATATCCCTCCCTTCAGGTTTGATGCTTGACACAGGCAAACATTCTGACATTTCATGCTTGGAAATGTGCCTTCAACAAATCCTTTTTGTGTTCCTAAATGACTGTTTGGCTGCTTATACTTCAGCCCATCTGTTTGGATGGCACCAAGCCTGCTCACAAGGTGATCTTCCTGTTTCACTTCCTATCTAGAGAGGCCAGCCAATTTCTGAGCTCTCGGCACAATACCTCTTCTGCCCTCACTTTGGTACAAAGCCCTGCTGAGTCAGAAACACTGCTCCTGAGCTTTATAAAATTCATTGGCACTTGAGTGACTCTGACCACCTGAGCAGCAGAGGAAGAAAACTGGAGTTGTCAGCACTGTAAATTGCCAAGTACACTTGTTACTTTGAAGCCAGGGGGATGTTACAAAGATCAGTGACACATCGTAGCATGAGAATTTTAATTGTTCTGCAAAGCCAGGATCACCCCAAGCAGAAGGACAAGAATAATAAAGTCAAAAACACAAGCCACAGAACGGCATATATTAGGATGCATTTGTTTTGTATGACCTTAGACCTTTACCTAAATTCACAGTGTTATGTTTATGCCATTCCCTGCAAAATCATGCCAGGCTGAAGATGCCTCTTTGCAAAGTTCTGAAGTGCATGACCAAGCTCTTTCAGAGGAATGGAGTACCATAGGCTTGTTTCAGATTGGTCTAACAGTGTTTCAAGCAGGCACTTGTACACTCACCTCTTCTGTGCTGCATATAGGTGCTTAGGGAGCACAAAGGGAGACATCTGCAGTATCAGAGACAGCTGGATGGTGGATGGAGCCTCAGAAGTGTAGGATGACATCACCTGGTTGAGCCATACCTTGGCCTTGGCAAATATCAGAATTCTGCATTTCCTTGATTAGCACCTGAAGTCTTTATTGAAACAGAAAGATTTCTTAGCTAGGAAGCACTTGCACTGTCGAGGGTAAGTCAGTGGGTACATATCACAAATGTTCTTCCTCCCTCCACCCTGTTTAAGAAAAGCAGTAATAAGCCAAGGAAAGCAAAGACAAGCTTTCAACATACAATATCAGCTGTCAGAATGTTTTAGTTTAAGGGTTTTAATGAAAATGTCTCCTTGCTCTGGTGTAAAATAATGTGACAAAATTTCCAAACGTGAGTTCTGACACCTGAAAGAACAGTTTCTCTTTGTGCCCTGTGTTTTTATTAAAGAAATCCCCTCACTTCTCATGCCATACTACGTTTAAAAGAAAATGAAAGAAATTTAAACATTTTGACTCTACCTAGGAATGAATCAAATTTATACTAAAATAATGATCTATAATGTGCTCAGAAAAAAGCAAATAACAGAGACTAAATTCCTCAGCTCTAGCCTGACAACTATCCAGTAACAACAAGAATAGCACTAACCTGTTTGTTCAACTAATTCTTGCAGTATCAGTCAGGGTGAATTGAGCATCTCCTACACAGCAGTTGGACAACCCCTGCCCTGTATTATAAGCTTTTCTAATGACAGAATATAATACATTGCCAGCAGCCAAAATCCACAAACAGCATCCAGATCCTGTGTAAAAGTAGCAAATAATTCTCTTTTCACTGAGCAAAAGAACCCCAAAACCACACCATAACAGAGGTATGTACACATCCACACAGGTTATGTGTCTATATAGATGCAGGTACCACATCTATACACAATGCCCCCACCCTGAAAATACATTTAAGGAGCCAGCAAACAAACACAGACTTTGTCCTACTACTCAGTGCAAGCTGCTGGCAGCAGGACACTCAGCAACATGAAATTCTTGTTCACTGTGATCTGTTTAATTGTCTTCTACCATCTTGGCATCTCAGCCAGACCCCTTCACCTTCTAAAGCCTTTCATTGCAAAGTTCTTCTATCCCAAGGAAGCCATGGCATTTGGGTCCTTGAAGCATATCCTATATGTATAAAGCATTGCATTTTGGCTTTGTGTACTGTCAGGACAAGAATTTGCTTCTTCCCCCATCTCCCCCCACCTCATTACTTTGATAAATAACAGTAACTCCAGCAGAGCTGTTAGTCCAACATTTTCAACTAATCTAATTTTCTGTACCCTTGAGCAGGATTTATTAGTTCAATTCTAGTTAAAAACTGTTCCAGTTATTTTTATTTTTATTTTTTTTTATTTTGAATGATGCAAACTTTACATTTGATATGCATCACTAATTTAGATTTTCTAGGATTTTAATGCTTCCATTTTAGTTCCATGTCCAGTAGCAGTCTCCCGAGTCCAAAAAAAGACATGACTATACTGGAGCATGTCCAGAAAAGAGCCACAAAGATAATTAAGGGACTGGAATATCTATTATGGGAAGAGAAGCTGTGAGAGCTGGGACTGTTTAGTCTGGACAGGCTCAGGGGGATTTTCTTAATATGCATAAATACCTGAGAGGCTAAAATGAAGGAAGAGGAGCCTGACTTCTCAGCAATGCCCTGTGAAAGGAATGGAGGAAATGGGCAGAAACTGAAATGCAGAAAGTTCCACCTAAGTGTAATTATTTGTTTATTAAACCACTGTTATAGTGATGAAGCATTGAAACCTGCTGCTAAAAAGGTTGTGAAGTCTTCAACTTTGGACATGTTCAAAGCCTTGCAATCCATCCTAAGCAGTCTGCTCTTTCTGACTTTGCTTTGAGCATGGCATTGTACTACATGATCTCCAAAGAGTCCCTTCCAACCTCAGCTACTCTATATTTCTGTGTAATTATAAGCTATTACTATAAAAACCCCTAAGGATATCAAATGGCATCATTAATTCTGTGTAAAAGCAAGTGCTTTTTAAAGAAAGAAGATACAGTTAAAGAAATGTCACCAGTAAACTGATTCCCAAATATATAGATTCATTGCTAGTGCTGTGCCAGGAAATATTTCATTTTATTGCAAGAAAATTTGCCTGAGTTTCCAGAATGCTTCTCAGATGTAATACAGCACTCTTGTGTAGAAATACTCACACAGGCATCAAATAACTACATATACTACAAGTCTGGTAGTTGTAGTTGCCAATAGCTTACTTGAAACTGTTGGACCAGATAACTGGTCCATAATTTCTCCTAGATGCTGTAGTATTTTCAGACTTTTTTCTTCCTCTCCCAAGCATGCATGAAGCAGTTAGCTTCCCCCTTTTCTTCCTTAATTCCCAAGAATACAAAGTCATGAGGAGCAACTGACTGCAAAAGTACTTCTGCTGTACCAGGGCTCCAATCTAGATGATGTCACTCCTAGAAAAGAGAGACGCCAGCTGTAAAATAAAGCTCAAAACCCAGCACCCATTTCTCAAAATTTCTTTCCCTGGATATTCTCTTCATGTTCACCTGATTTACCACTTCCCAGTCAGAAGATAATGTCAAATATTTTTTTGCAGTTTTGCAGTAACAAGAAGGACCAGGTTGATAAGCTGGTAGACAGAGGATGAGACTTCTATGCTTATGTCCTGCTGCGTTCTCCTTGACCAAAGCAGTTTCCTCCCATTCCATTATGCCAAGCAAAGGAATGCATCAGGAGTCAATGGATCATAAGCAGAGTGTGTGATCAGGTGTCACATGGCTGAGAGGTGGCTGTCAGTGGAACACGCTGTGCTCACATGCCTCTCAGAGGCTGTGTACCCAGACCTGTCAGTCCAGCACTGCTTTCAGAAACTTAATTTCTTTAATATCCAACCTTGAGGTCACAATTGAAGAGTTAATTTCACGTGGATAACAGGCTGAAGCTTTACCCTTATTGCCACACCAGAATAGATATTCTTATAGCCACTGTCCTACAAACGACCTACCTTTTACTGTCTGTAAAGCCACGAAAGCTATTTGTCTTTTTAAAGCTCCATGGTATTGGGATTTGGGCCCCATTTGTTACCCACTCTCCTAGTTCTTTGCGTTAATGAGCTCTAATCAGCAGCCTTCCATTTTATAAAGTGTCACCCTCTAGTGCACTGTTTAAATTTATCTAAATTAAAATCACACCCTATTTAAAATTTGCCTCTTGCTCTAAAATCTCTTGATCAATCATTCTGTAGTTTCAGCCTAGCCTCTACAAATTTGATCAATGCGTGCTTCATTTTGTCTTCCAGATTGTTTAATAGAAACCTTAATTAGTGCTTTCATTAATTAATACCAGACCCAATACTGATTCAGAGATATGCCATTTGATAGCTCCCTCACCACTGGGTGTTTCATTGTTAATTATCCTGACACATTGTAGCCCAAGCAATTCTGTATTCACGTTACAGGTTGATGAAGCCGAGAAGGGCTTTTTTCCTCCCAAATTCTTCCTGAAGGAGCTTCCCACACATAGCAACAAGAAGCCATGGTAGAGTTAGATAACAGAAATCCACTGTGTTTTCACTTGTCTGCTAAACACATAATATAGTGCAGCTTATTAACTTAGTCTGAACAAAAAAGTTCAACTAATTATTCACACATGTCTCAAAGGAGCATGAAAACCTCTTCTTCACTGCACTGATGGACTGTGGTTTAGTTTTAGGGTGCTTCACAGAGCAGTGGGGCTAGAAAGGCAGAAGTTCACTGCTTGTGAACCTGGCAGCCAGCTGAGCTTTTTCTCACCTCCAACTCTTTCATCCGAGGTTTAACTCATTACATCACCACAGTCTCATCTGTCTGGCCCAGGTTATCTTCCTATAGTGTTGTTACTACCCTCAAGTTTGCCTTCAAACACTCAAAATCAGATAGCAGCCCATCCAAAAACCCACTAAGCTCCTAGCCAGGAGAAAATGCCTGAAGGGGGGGAAGGAGGGGGGCTTTACTCATTAGTTTTCATTTTTTCAGACACACAGCTCTTCCAGCTCCAAAAAGGACTCATCTGAACAGTTTCCACATCTTACTCAGAAGTGCCCTAAGCAAAAGTACTTCCCCTGGAGGTTTGCTTAAGGTGAAGAACACTTACAATACAGTCCAGGTTCTAAACAAGTGCACTTATTTAAGGCATAATCAAAGACACACAGGGTCAGATTACTGAGAAAACCCTCTCCTATTCAAGTACAAGCTCTACAGAAATTACATCCTGGACACCAAGGACTAGATCTGCAGGTGTACTTAGGGATACAAGATTTGTACTTGCGAAGAGCCCCATAAGAGACTGTAGGAAACCAGGAAATTCTTTCTCAAACTGAGCCTGATTCCAGCAATTCACCTTTAATCTCTTAGCATTAGCTTTTCAAAATATTCCCTTCATCAGACTAGGGAAAGATAACATGGAAATCCAACATGCATTCTGCCAGATTTCACATACAATTTTCTACTCAAAATTAAGGAGTCTCTTGACTCAAGTGAAAGTAGCCTCTTTTAGCAATTTAACTTTACTCCTCAAACCTGTTGCACAATTTCTTTTGCTACATTTTTTTGTGACTTTATTCCTATGCAAAACCTTTTTTATTTCTGAATGTACCTACCATTCTCAAGACAAATCAACAATTGAAAAATAAAAATAACTAACCTTTTTTCCCATCTTCTCATGGTCTGTAATTCTTTTCCTTTTCCAAGGCCCTTCCAAATGTTCCCCTAGAAACATTTCTCTTACAGGAATACTGCACACCACAGAGGAGGAAAGGGAAAGGATTGCAATGTTTGCTTTATAAAAGCTTGCCTTAGGTTCCCTTCCTCTCATATAAAAACACCTAGCCCAGTATATGGTTTAAGGAGATTACTGCTAGGCAATTCTAGATTTTTTGCCTCTTGTCTCTGTGCAGATCTCAGATTTGAGGCATGTGAGTTAAGCAAGCAAGGAGAGGAAATGGTGTGAGTGCATGAAATGTGCCTTATCCTACAGTGGAGAATGTGAATCCTGCCAGTGCAAAGGATGTAAAGGCTCTAATTGAAAGCACATATATCATTTGAAAGCTGGTGGAGAGTAAGGACCAATTGCTGAGCACCTGAAACTCCAGGTGCAATTAATAATTCAGCTGCTTAGCTGAATCTACTGAAAAAAAACCCCATACCTTAATTTATAAAAGATTCCATTTTAAAATATCTATCTCTCAGGGCAGTTCATTTATCTATTGATCAGATTAAAAGAAGAATGTGTTGGAAAGCTAAAAGCAAGAACCAGCATGAGAATTTAGAATAAAAGCTTGCTCAACAGGCTCTGAGTTTCATGTTGTAAATTGGCAAACATCTGACTTGAAGAATGGTATTTGAGGTATTTGAAAGTAAAAAGGCATTCAGAAAATGGATTCTGAAAAAATTGTGTCTGGTTTAGACTTTATCTGTTTATATATCAAAGGACACTCTTCCTAGCAGCTATGTGTCAATCTCTTCTTTCTGCCTTGTACACACTCCAAAAATTATTTTAGGATTGAATTATCTGTCAGTTTTGGATAGCCTGGAACTCTATGCAGAGGATATACAGTCACTCTAAAGACATCAAGAAGAAGCTATTGCTCACATTATGCACAGATGATCAAAAAAGTGTGTCTAGAGAATAATAGAGGGCTGTATTATTTTCTGTTTTATAAGCTCAGGATGTGTCTAACTGAGAGCACCCATAGCCAGATGTATCATCATCTCACAAAAACCAGCTACGAGAATGGAAAGACGTGAGACAGACAGTGGTCATGAATAGTCCTACAAAAGCTTTTATATGAAGAAGGACTGAAAAGATTCAAACTGTTTAGAGCTGGCAGGAGACAGACACAGAGGGAAATGAAAGACAGTGGAAGAACTAGGTAGAGCATATCTGAAACACAGGAAGGAAGTCTGGTTTTTAAATCAGATTTTCTTTTGAATAAAATAGGAAGTGATTAAAATGTGGAATTTTTTTTATTTTATTTTTTTTTTTATTTTTCTGCATGCCATCTCAGGGGTCAAATGTTACTCAGATTCAAAGGAAGATTGAACCAGTAAGTGTATAATGGGAACATTCATTAGAAAGGGTGCAGGCTGGGATATCAAACTGTATGCTTCAGGGCAAAGGTCCCTCATCAACTCTAAGGAATTAGAAAACAGACTTTTATAAGCAGTTATTCTGGCAGGCAAGGAAAGTATTATTAATTCATTTATAATGCCTTTGACCTAAAACACAAGGGGAGGATATAGATGTAAAAAAGAAATAGAAATGGAATTAGCAAACAGACAAATCAACATGTAGTGACTTAGAAAGAAAATCCCCAACTTACTCCTTAGAAAAAGGAAAGGGATGAAACATCAGTTAACCAGACAAAGGGAAACAACTTGAGGTTCTGAGGTTAGGCCCAATGAGGTGGAACTGTGAAAAGACAGGAAAAGTGCTCCAAATGCTTGAGTAAAAGAGCATCATATTTATAGAGAGGGTGAAACAGAAATGTGACACATTGAAGAGATGAATGAATGGATTTTTTATTAAAACAAACATCTCAGAGAAGATGCAATATTAAACGTTTGAAAGTTTTGTTAATATAACAAAATGGTTTACCAGGAAGGGAATTTGTCTAAATGATTTGCTATATGTACTTTCTCCTCCTGAGCTTGAACATGATTCAATTCTAGCAGAGGCGGAAGGTAACATAGAAATGATCATTCCCCAACAGACTGAAACTTGTTGACAGGAAATGGTGATGAAACCTGAATTATGTGTTTTGTGCATAGAAATGATAATTTATCAGGGCTGTTTGACACTGGCTTCCTCTGCAAATGAATTCTCAAGGAAGGAAGGCAGGAAGAGAAAACCTGCAACTGATTTTCTGTCTCATAAGGCAAATTAGATGAACAGATTCTAGTTGAAGAGTTTGCTGTGTTAACTTCTCTCAACTCTGAACACGCCTATGTTGATACACAACCTGTTGGTAGCTGCAGTGACCTTCATTATCCTAGCTTATGGCTCTACAAGTGAGCCATAAGCCATGTTTCAGTCCAGGCCATTTTATTATGTTTGTTTGAAATCAAAAGGACCCACAGATAAACTTCCAGAAACCCCGGGCAAACCATGTTTGAGTCACTTTACAATTATTACTAAAGTTCACTGAGCATCTATGCTCATAAATAAATACCCTTAACCTTTTTGTTTAACATGTTCAACCTTATAAATTCTTGTAAGAGAATCTCTGTAAAGATTAATTGAATTATAAGATCATGGTGCTACATGATCAAGCATATTACTGTCAGACCTATTACTTTTTCTCCCAGTGTGTGGGACCACATGTGCTAGATTCACTTGACAAAAGGCAAGCAGGCAGGGAGTGGGGGTGTGTGACAGCTGAAGGGTGTGCCTCTGCCCCACAGCTAAAGGTGCATAAAATCCAGAGGTGAACAAAACACCGACCTTTCATCTCCTACATGGCTCACAGACCAGGTCAACAACCTGTTCATGGCAAGTCCAGTGTGGGCTGCTGGTGTGGCATAGGACACTGGTGTGGCCCAGCAAGGGAGTGAGTTCCCAGGGTAAGAGGTGGGTAGCTGTGAGCCACAGGAGATGGCCCCACCAGCCAGGGCTCATCCCACTGCCCTTGTGGAGGGAGCAGGGCAGGATGGAAGGGGGCAGCCAGGCACAGCAAGTCCATGAGTGATGAGGTAGGTCTGGGATCAGGCTGGTAAGCCAATTCATGGGTCAGGGGCAGTGCATCAGAAGGGTCCACAGCCAAACATGGCCATAATGCAGCTGCAATGCAGACTGGCCAGGACCCAAGGAACCAGAGCCTGAGCTTAAAACCAGATCCTGTTTGAATGGCAGGTGAGGAGAGACCTCACTGAGTCCTATTCACTTTCTCCCTAAGACCAGCAGCTGTATCACAGGGCATTAGACTGGCTCTGAACCCTGGAAGCCAAACCCCCAAGAGTGGCAGAGGGTGACCTCAGGGCCCTGATGTGAGGTAGAGACTGTCCTCATCCATTTCTGCCAAACAGAAAGAATACTGCTGTGTTCTTGTACCACAGGTTACGGTTCTGGGGTTTCTCTTCCCAGGTCTCACCCTTTGCCAGGAGCCATTCACAAGGGCAGAGGACATGTCCCCTGAGAGCTGCTTCCTGCAAGGGCTTTTAGCAGATGCACACACAACATACTTGAGAGCAGAGCAGGCACACAGCATTGCTTCCCCCAGGTACTTCGGTCAGCTTCCAGCAATCTCCAGGTCACAGAGTTCCTGCATAGCAGAAACTATAAATTTGTGTAGCTAAATTACTGCTGAATTCTTACTGGTAACTGAGAACATACGTTGATCTACAAGTATCAGTTGCTTTGAATGATTTGATACTAATGTGCTCACATGCAAACATAAAATTTTGGGCTTAGAGATATTAAGAAAACTACTCTTGGGAAAAATGATACAGTGTGTTTCACTTACATAAAATCTGGCAGCCAAAATGTTGAGCAGATTAAAAAAGGAAAGTAAGGGGCATGTTAGTAAAAAATTTATTGCATAGAGACACCTCCAGGGACCACAAAAGCAGAGCAATCACAGTGTCAGTGCCATTTATCACCAAGAGAAGACTTGGTGTTCCCACTGTAACCTTGTGTTTCTATGGAGAACGCCTTCTTTGGCTTTCGGTTTTGATTGATACAGTACACCAAATATGCTCAGATGCTGTTTCCAGACTCAGTCAAGCTTCCATGTTAGAGAAACAGTACACAATTTTTCAGTCAGCAAAGAAAATTACCTAACAGTCACTGTATTTGGGGTATCCAGTGCAGCATACAACTGGGAAATGCTCACTAACTCTATGGATTATGGGGAAACCTGAAAAATAACACTGCAGAGCTGAGGCAGATCAAGATATCAGCAGAATGCTATCATCCTCTGATGCTGTCAAACACAGGGACTTTTCCCCATGTCTCCGCAATGGGAATGTGCAATGGGATGAGGACACTCTGCTATTATACCTTAGTTTCATTGCCTTCTGAAGTGCAGGAAACCCTGTAACACCAAGAAAAATTGTTCAGGGATGGAGCATGAGAGCTTCTTGGAAAAGGTAGCTGGAGGTGAATGCCACAGGGCCCAGCTTAAGGTGGCACATATTGTGCATTCCCAGCCTACCCTGAGCTGCTCGAAGCACCTCCAGGCTGTTGCTGCTCCCCAACAGCAGCTTATCCTGTAAGAGATGATACCCACTTCCCTATCTGATGCAGAAAGCTGATGCCAGGTGCTCTGCTGGCTTTAAAACACTGAAGAAAAAGGAAGACTCCATTTTCCTCATGATTCCACAGGTGTTCTTTTTCAAGAGTCCTCTCAAGGGCTTCCTGTACACAGAACATTGCTCTTGAGCTTTTGAGCTGCTATGGCTTTTGAGTGGGAAAATGAAGAGCTGCATTTCTTACTCTCAGGAGATCATTTCAAGACAAGGTTTCTAGTAGATTTAGTGGAGTCACAACTGGAGCTAGCAGGCCATCTCACCCTTCTCTTTCCCCATTTTTCTATTTAAAACCCATCTTCAGCACATGGGTCACTCAATTAGCCTACAGATGCTTACAGTGCATGTGTAAGACCACTATTCTCCTTCCATTTGTTTTTCCATGGCATTCCATGAAATAACATGATGCCACTACCCTGGGATTTACTACAGTCCTGTTTTGCTTCTCATATCTCTCTGTTCCAGAGCATAGTAAGCTAACCTCCTGCTCTGTTGTCTCAATGCAATTTCCCTTATCACCTCCTGGGATATCTTCTTCATAAGCCACGGACTCTGCTTTAAATAACATTCTTCAGACTGACTTTACAAAAAGCACACTGTACTCCCTGCTTCAATGCAATGATAGATTCTGTAAATAAATGGATTATGACACAAATCACAAAAGAAAATTATTAACAGTGCCAGAAAATAACATTTGTATAGACTGTCAATTAACCAGCTGGGAAGCCTACATATAGGAAACATCTGCATTTATT